TTTTTTTTTTTTTTGTTTTTCGTCATTAGCACAAACGATTTTTACGTCTCTCCTATTTCGCGAGGGCGGGAAAATATTGAATGATCGGGAAAAGACAAACGAAAGTCGATCGTCGAGCTAGGAAAGAAAGGCTAACGCTGGCATCGCCACGTCTGTATGTTGCAGGAGAGGAAAATGACTTTACGTCGGATGGCGAGGAGAGTGGCGGTGGAGGAGCTGGCGGAGACGAGGCCGTGGACCTCACGGCGTCCAGGTCGACGCATCAGGGCGACGAGGACGACAAGGATCAGGAGGACGGTCTGGAGGAGGACGAAGAGGAGGGCGTGGACGATCAGGACGAGCAAGAGGACGACGAGGAAGGATCGCGGAAGCAAATGCATCACAGACAGGACGCGGAGAACAACAACAATTTCGTAGAGGGTGGCACCGCCGCCGGCCTGTTCCCACCGGCTGGGACTAGCCACGTCACCCTGGAAGCCCTTCAAAACACGAAAGTGGCGGTCGCACAGTTCGCGGCGACGGCGTTGGCCGGTGGCGCCGACACCGAGGCCGCGCTCCAAGACCTGGCGCTGCTGCAGAGCACCCTGTACACGCTGCAGCATCAACAAGTGTTCCAGCTACAGCTGATCAGCCAACTGCAGCAGCAATTGTCGATCACGCACAGTCAAACGATGCAACAGCCAGCGGCCGGCGGCGAGCCGTCGGACACGGTGAAGGAGATATCGCCGTCGCCGATCATCCAGCCTAAACCGCTGTCCAGCTTGACGTCGCCTCCGTCGTCGCGTCCGCCGTCGCATCAGCAAACATCGCCAGCTCCAATGACGCCGAACCTGACCGCTCAGGAACGGCCGACGCCGACCAGCAGCGCGTCACCGCTGAATATCCCGCTGATCTCGTCGAACGCGACCGGCGCGACCGCCACCGGCAGCAACACCGGCAGCCAGGTGCCCATGTCGCACCAGATACCGCCCCTCTGCTCCATCAGCTCTTCCCTAGCCTCGTCGATAATAACCAACACCGATCCACCGCCGTTGCACGAGCCCAACACTCTGGAGATGTTGCAGAAGAGGGCGCAGGAGGTGCTGGACAACGCGAGCCAGGGACTGCTGGCGAATAACCTGGCGGACGAGCTGGCGTTCAGGGGTGGAAAAGGCTCCCGTCTCTCACCGTACGACTCAAAGTCCGGTGGTAGCGGTCGCGGGGAGCCGTTCTTCAAGCATCGGTGCCGCTATTGCGGCAAGGTGTTCGGCAGCGACTCGGCGCTTCAGATCCACATACGATCGCACACAGGTGAGCGACCCTTTAAATGCAACGTCTGCGGCAGCCGCTTCACCACGAAAGGAAACCTCAAGGTCCACTTCCAGAGGCATACGGCCAAGTTTCCACATGTTAAGATGAACCCGAATCCCGTTCCGGAACACCTGGACAAGTACCATCCACCCTTGCTACAACAAATCGCCTCCGGTCAGAGACCGATGCCGTCCCCGCCGCCGCCACCGCCCTCTCACCATCCCACCTTTCACCCGACCGCGGCCCACGGTTTTTTACCCCCTCAGCCGCCGTTGCCGCTCAGCCTGGCCCTTCCCGGTATACCAACCCTGTACAGATCGCCGGTTATCGCTCATCGGGACGATCAGGACGTGCCGGAGAACCTGAGCAAACCCGTTGTTACCACTGCCCCGACCACGTCGTCCCCACATTCCCCCGCGGTTGCGTCCAACTCTCGTCATTCCTTTCACGACAATCACCATCATCACCACCACCACCACCATCACCACCATCACCAACAACAACAACAACAACAACCATTACAACAACAACAACAACAACAACAACAACAACAACAAAAGCAGCAGCTCGAGCAGAGGGACGAGATCAAGCACGAACAACGATCGCCCATTCAGGAACATCAGTATCAACAACAACAACAGCAACGGCCCAGCGAGGGTCAGGAACCGACCGAGAGGATAACGCCGAAGAAAGAGCCGGAGGAGGCCGAGGAGCCTACAGAGGAGGAGAGCGAGGACTTCGAGGAGGCGGCCAGACGGTATTTAAACTCACCCCAATCCTCCGTCAATCCATCCTCTCAACCGCAGACGTACGAAGACTGTAGCATGGACAGTAAGATGAGCGGTCGACTGGAGGGAGACGGCGACATGGAGGTCGACGAGGAGATCGAGGAGCAGCCGGAGAATTTGTCCGGTCGGGGGACCATCGGTCGTTTGCCGCAGCACATTGTCGCGTATCCCGGAGCCTCCCCTGCTAGCAGTAGCGCCAGTAGCGGAAGCCTTCAAACGTCCTTCGCGGGGATTTTGTTCCCAGGGCCGCCGGCGCATCATCAAATACCCGCACATCACGCCGCACCGCCGACCGTAAACGCGCCCGCCAACGTTCCCACCAACGAGATGATCGACCCGGCCAAGGATCCGGCTATCTACTCCAGCCTGTTGCCACGGCCGGGCAGCAACGACAACTCGTGGGAAAGTTTGATCGAGATAACCAAGACCTCGGAAACGTCCAAGTTGCAGCAGCTGGTCGACAACATTGAACACAAACTGACCGATCCTAACCAGTGTGTCATCTGTCATCGGGTCCTCTCCTGCAAGAGCGCCCTCCAGATGCATTACAGGACCCACACTGGCGAACGGCCGTTCAAGTGCAAGATCTGCGGCCGGGCGTTCACCACCAAGGGTAACCTGAAGACTCACATGGGCGTGCACAGGGCGAAACCGCCGTTGAGGATGTTGCACCAGTGCCCGGTCTGCCACAAGAAATTCACCAACGCGCTGGTGCTGCAGCAGCACATACGGCTGCACACCGGCGAGCCGACGGAGCTCAGTCCGGAGCAGATCCAAGCGGGCGAAGTGAACGAATTCCCACCGGGTTACTCGCACCACCCGTTGGCCTCGTTCCTCCCGCAGGGCTTCCCACCGATTCATCCCGCGGCCGGTGCCGGATTCCCCTTGACGTTTCCTCCGACTCGACAGCAACCGCTGGAAAGACAGGTACAAGAGAACGACATGGATTCGAAAGACGAGCCTCAACAGCAGCAGCAACAGCAGCAGCAACAGCAACAACAACACCAGCATCATCAGCATCAGCATCAGCATCATCATCAACAGCAACAGCATCATCATCATCATCATCATCATCAGCAACAACAGCAGCAACAGCAACAGCAGCAGAGGTACTCCGAGGAGCAGAGCGAGGAAGCGGACGACCAGGACGACGAGGAGGACGATCGCAGAGAGGATGACGACAGATGCGTCAATGTGAATCGCGGTGGAGATGTGGACGACGAGCAGGATCGCGAGAGCGAAGAGAACGAGACGCAGAAGGACGCGGTGTCGTCTCTGCCGAGCTTCTCGACCTCGTTGGCCGCCCTGGAGAACCAGGTGCGAACGATCACGACGACCGCGACGTCGACGGTGGGGAACCTCGCGGCCAGGTCGCCGCCACAGTTTCACCGTTACAACGGCAGCGAGAAGAGCAACAGCCCCCCGAACCCTAGCGCCCCGTTGGACCTGACACCTCGGGCCTCGTCCACACCGGCCTCGGTCGCGTCGGTGCCAACGCCACCGCCTCAGACGAGCACGCACCATCCGCACCCGTTCGGCATGTTTGCAGGCCTGCTGCAAGCGGTCTCCTCGTCCTCGCCGTCCACCAGCGGCATCGGCTCCTCGAGTATAAACAGCGTCGTCAACTCGATGAACGCCGTGACACCCGGGAGCGTCTCCGCCGCCGGACCGTTGGCCTCCCTCACCACGTCAGCCGTGTTGGCCGCCACGTCCACCTACAATCCGCTCGGCCTGGCTGTCGGCGGGCCAGCAGGTAGGCGCTGCTAGCATCAGGGCGAGCTGCAGTTCCTGCTACACCTCCCGATCGATCTGACACTCTCTCTCTCTCGATTTCACCGATCCTCGAAACCACGCCAATCTGTCTGTCTGACTCCGTCCGCCTCTGTCCAACAACAACCTCTTGTACATCGACATGTATCCTGTTTTTGTGGTGTAGCCGGACCTAGCACTCCTACCCTCCCAGCTTTTCACGCTCTTTTCTTCTTCTTCTTTTTTTTTTTTTTTACTATGTCTGTGTTTCAAAACTTTCTTTTTTTCTCTCTGTCTTTCTGTCTCTCTCTCTCTCTCTCTCTCTCTGTCTCTCTGTTTCTCTTATCTATCTGTCTATCTACTCGTCTCTCTTTTGTATATGCGACAAATGATTCTGCGGCGTACGAAACAAGAGCGAAAAGAAGAGAAACTCAGACAGGCCAAAAAAGAAAAGACTAGGCGTACACAGATGCGAGTGTTTTGTATCCCTTCTTTTGGCGCAACCGTGACCGAAAAAAAAAAAAAACCGAAAAAAAAAACTATGGACACTTGGCGAAATAAATAAATTTTTTTGGAAAAATGGATTGCTGCCTGTACGATTCATTTCACTCCTTCCGTCAAACTGTCACGATGGTAAAACGGGTCTAAACAGGTTGTGGTTCTCGAGGCAGCACCGGGCACCGAGGATAACGATCACCTTCGGATTCCCAGAGGCTTGCGTTTACCAACGTCTCGGCTGGCGTTTGCGCGCTCGTTTGACGATTAGATTAAAGCCCGTTCTCTTTCTTTCTCACTCGTTCACTCACTCTCTCTGTCACATACACACACACGCACTCTCTCTCTCTCTCTCTGTCTCTCTCTGTCTCTCTCTCTTTTTCTTTCTCTTTCTTTTTGGCGTTCGTGACGGATAGCTTACCGGAGAGTCGAATCGCGGTTACAAATTGCTTTCACGGACGGTAGAAACGTGTGAAAGTGTCACGAGGCAATTGTAAAGAAGTACGATCTGTTACAGTGCGTGGAAACACCACATGTAATATCTGCTACAAGACATTTGCGTGCAATTCCGCGCTGGAGATCCATTATCGGAGCCACACGAAGGAGCGGCCTTTCAAATGCAGCATATGCGACAGAGGGTTTTCCACGAAGGTAACGTAACGTAACGTAACTTTTTCTAACCGTTCGTTCGATGGGATCGGGACGATCGAATTGGACGCGCTTGTTTCGAGAAATAATTGTTTGCTGCTCGCCAGACGAGGACGTCGCGCGTCGGGAGGAATCGCGCGCAGCGACTGGATCAATGGCGATTTTCAAGTTAATTTGGAAAATCTTTTTCTCGTTCTTTCATCTTTGTAGTAAAACTTGGTATTCAAAGTATTTCAAGCTTAGCTTCTCATCGCGTTCTTGCTGTTACTATTGAAACAATGTTGACCAGAATCCACAGTCGTTGCACGATTATTCCTCCGCGACACGTGACACTCGTGGCTTCGTTGCTTTCTAGAAAACCGGAGCAAGTTAGAGCAACACTAACTCGCAGATTATTTGCAAATTGATTACGCGTTAACGTAAAGTCGAACGGCAAGTCGACGAAAAAAAGAAAGAAAAAAACTTCACTGTCAAGCCAAGCCGGACTTGTCAGCCCAGTCAGCTCTGTATCTCTGTTTTTTTTCTACGATACTTTCAGAACGATGGTTCCGGGCAGCAAGCATGCATCTGTGCGTCTCAACCGTTGCCCGCTAACAGTTCGATCGGTTCGCCCGATCCTCAATTCGGATCAGCGTGCGCCAGTAGTCGAGAAAAAGCGAAACGCAGGCGGCGGCGGCGACCCGAGGATCGGAAGAGCCGGGGGCGGAAAGGAGCCGGAGGGGGGCGGGGGCTCACGCCTCTCTATCCTGCCATCCGCCTACCCCCGCTGATGTCGCCCGCCCTCGGACTTCTACCCTCGGCGCACGGCCTCCTGGTAAGAGCCTGCTGTATTTTGACAATGAAACAACAACCTTGATATAACACCACTATGTATATTCTTCTC